GGAGGGAGGGAAGAAGAGGGGAGGGGGAGGAGGAGGAGGAGGGAGGAGGAGGCAGAGGGAGGGAGAGAAGGAGGAGGGGAGGAGGAGGAAGAGGAGGAAGAGGGAGGAAGAGGAGGGAGAGGAGGAGGAGGAGGAAGAAGAGGAGGGGAGGAGGAGGAGGAGGAGGAGGAGGAAGAAGAGGAAGGGAGAGAGGAGGAGGAGGAGGAGGAGGAAGAGGAGGGAGAGGAGGAGGAGGAGGAGGAGGAAGGAGGAGGAGGAGGAGGAGGAGGAGGAGGAGGAGGAGGAGACAGCCAGCATCTCCGTGACACTTGAAGGAGAAGGAGAATGAAGAGGAAGAGGAAGAGGAAGAGAAAGAGGAAGAGGAAGAGGAAGGGGAAGAGGTATCACCAGGACCAACACAGCACCTCAACACAAGTCTTCACGACCACTAGAAGCCATTATGTAGCCTCACGTTTCTCCACTAATTGTCGCCTTTCACCACTTTATCATAGCTTTCTTCTCTTCCTCCTTCGTTTTTCCTTAACATTTCTAAACATATCATCTCTCCTTTATTGGTCTTTCCTTCGGGGTTTTTTTTCCTTCTTTTAATATCATAATTTCTGAACGTTTCTACTGATGTTTTTATTTTATGTTTTTTTTTTGTCTTTATCAATAATTCTTTAGTGTCTCATCTTTTTATTTCTCTCTCCATTCTTTTATCTTTTCTTCCTTTATAAATCTTAGTGTTTCTCTATCTCCTTCTCCCTTTTCTGTGTTTCTTCTTCTTTATCAATAACTGTCAATGTGTCTTGTGTTGTGTTGTGTTGTGTTGTGTTGTGTTGTGTTGTGTTGTGCTGTGTTGTGTTGTGTAGTGTTGTGCTGTTGTTTAGACGTGAGGGAAGAGAGAGAGACAGAGAGAGAGAGAGGGGGAAAAGGAGGAGAGAGAGAGAGAGAGAGAGAGAATCAATGAGAGAGAAAGGGAGAAGGGAGCGAGAGAGAGAGAGAGAGAGAGAGAGAGAGAGAGAGAGAGAATAACACACTAATGTCCCAGAATATATACAGGATATACTTGAGAGGCTCGACTCCTCCGTCAGGTAGAAGTGAGGACCTCTTACACAGGTGAATGTGAGGCTGACCCCCTTAACACAACCATCACAGTCCCTCTCACCACTCACTCTTTTTCCTCGAAGTCTTGAAGTTTGAGATAAAGTTGTTGTGGTCAGATTAATTTTTTTTTTATTTGTTAGGAATTTGAAAGTAATTGAGTCAAATTTCTTGTTTTAAATGATTCAGTTTTTTTTTTAATTTTGTTCTGATTTCTTATTTTAACTGGTTCAGATTTTTTGTTTTAACTGGTTCAGATTTTTTGTTTTAACTGGTTCAGATTTCTTCTTTTAACTTGTTCTGATTTCCTATTTTAACTGGTTCAGATTTTTTTGTTTAACTGGTTCAGATTTCTTATTTTAACTGGTTCAGATTTATTTTTTTGAACTCGGTCAGATTACCAATTTTAACTGGTTCCGATTTCTTCTTTTAACCAGAACAGATTTTTTGCTTCTCTCCGGTTCTCGTAAAGGATTGTATTTATTTTTCTACTGTGGGCTCGTCAGATTTAAAAAGGATTTCTCTATGGTCTGTTTTTATTTCCAAAGCGAATTTTCTTTTATTATTTTAGATTATGTATGGTAATTTTTGATCACTTAATTCTCTTACCATTGCATTCTTTTGCATCACCCGGACCTGCCTCGCCAATGGTCAATATCAAAATCACAACGTTATTCTAGTCACCTCATTATCAAAGTTGAAAGGTCATTGATCTGTAACCGGGATTTATTTTATCAGGGTCACGGGAGTAATCTGGAGACTCGGTTATCTCTGGTCACAAGAGATCAAGGTGCTTATGGTAAAATACTTGGCTGTGTTAGGAGGAGTAATTGAAATGTGGCTGGCGAGTACCGTAGATTAATGTGCCCCCCTTCTCTCTCTCTCTGTCTCTCTCTCTTTCTCACCTTTTGGACTTGTTTTTACCTTTTTACCTTTCGACTGGACTTACTTTATTACCTGAATTTTTCGGACTTTTAACTCATCTTCCTTTTGGACTTTTATTTTACCTCTCTTAAGGATTTGGGGGACTTTTATTTCTTTTTTTTTTTAGATTTATTTCACCATAAATTTTACATGTGTTTTATATATAAGAATAATTACTTACCTTCGAGTTTTGGACTTTTTACCACACCTTCCATTTGGACTTTTTCCCTCACTATTCTAAATTGGACGTTCTGTCACCTACTGGTCTCAATACAAACATTTAATTAGACTTTTTATTAATATGTTCAAACTTTTCTCTCACCTGTTGGACTTGTTTCTTACCTTCCTTTTGGACTTGATGCTCTCCACCTGCCTCGGAGTTTGCTCACCAATGCTGCGGCTCCCCCACAGAGTCATGCCAATACGCGCGTACGTGAAGCCCATACATAACAGCGGCAAGATGTACGTCAACACCATCAGCACTACCGTATGTCTGTGTGGGAGAGAGACAGAGAATGTGGTTAGGTTAGGTTAGGTTAGGTTTGGTTATGTTAGGTTTGGTTAGGTTAAGTTTGGTTAGGTTAGGTTAGGTTTGGTTAGGTTAGAATCTAATAACATTGGAAACTTTTTAACTTACAGACCATGTTTCCGAATCTTCTGACAACACCTCTTCCTTCACCATGCTGTTTCTCCGCCACTTAACACCTACGCTAAGACTCCTCACCACCACAGCGTTGTATCATCACCACAACACACTCTACCACTCGGTGTATGTATCATCACCACAACACACACACTCTACCACTCGGTGTATGTATCCTCACCACAACACACACACTCTACCACTCGGTGTACGTATCCTCACCACAACACACACACTCTACCACTCGGTGTACGTATCCTCACCACAACACACACACACACTCTACCACTCGGTGTATGTATCCACACCACAACACACACACTCTACCACTCGGTGTATGTATCATCACCACAACACACACACTCTACCACTCGGTGTATGTATCCTCAACAACACACACACTCTACCACTCGGTGTATGTATCTCACCACAACACACACACACACACACTCTACCACTCGGTGTATGTATCCTCACCACAACACACACACTCTACCACTCGGTGCATGTGTATCCTCACCACAACACACACACTCTACCACCTGGTGTATGTATCCTCACCACAACACACACACACACACTCTACCACTCGGTGTATGTATCCACACCACAACACACACACACACTCCACCACACCACACAAAACTGATGTTGCAGAAAACAACCGGAAGAATGAACACAGTTGCAATCTTCCCCAAATTGGCCGAGTTATCCTGAAATTGACAGCTAATGTGCAAAGAGAGAGAGAGAGAGAGAGAGAGAGAGAGAGAGAGAGAGAGAGAGAGAAGAGAGAGAGAGACAGAGACCGGCACAGAAAGAGACAGACAGAAAGACAGACAGATCAAAATATAGACACAGAAAGAGACAGAGATAGAGAGGCAGACAGACAGATAGACAGAAAGACAAAGACAGAAATACATAAAAAGACAGAGAAAAATAAAGAGATTTGCACAGTGTAATAGTAAATATTTAATAGAGTTGACTTATTGACCTAATCAGATAAAATACCAATATTCCCTTTCTCAGATCATCACTGTTCCCCACTGTGAATATTTCTCCATATTCCCCGATACTTCTCTATCTTTTTTTCCCCTAAGAAGATTTAATATTCCCCGTTACTTTAAACCTAATAAAAACGAATATTCCTCTCACCTGTTTACTTGACATGATATAATATTTCCCAATATTTATCCACATTCATCTAAATATTCCTCTTCCTCGGATTTACCTCCCCCACCCCCCCAGAATCTTCCTCCTGTTTTACCCAACGAAAAAGTAATCCTCCTACTTCTTGCACCTCTAAAATCAAGGAACATCGCCCCAGGTGTTAACAGAACAAGGATGGGAGGTATACGGCACTCGGTAACATTACACGTCACTCACCTGCCTTAACTGTGAGATTAATGTTGTAAAGCCTTAAACCAGCGTCTTGTGTGTGTGTGTGTGTGTTCCTCCCAGTATATATACATACATGAGTTAGGTATTACGTATTAAGCAGTTACATACATACATACATACATACATACATACATACATACATACATAAAATAGTTTGTGGACGTACATAATGACAGCAAGTGTGAGTAATATACAGTATTTTTTCTTACTTTCCTTTTACTTTTTTATTTTTTATTTTTGTCTCTGGTAGGATGACGATGGTATATCAGAGGCTGGTTAACACTTGTCACTTAAGGGTTTATAGTGACACGGTGTCCCAAACTAGCAGGGGTGGTGGGGTAGGGGGGTGGCGGAGGATGAGGGGTGAGGCTGGGGTGGTGTAGGGGGTGGCGGAGGATGAGGGGTGAGGGCTGGTGGGTGGGTGGGGTAGGGGTGGTGGAGGATGAGGGTGAGGAAGGGGTGGTGGGGGGTAGGGGGGTGGGTGGAGGGATGAGGGGTGAGGGGCAGGGGTGGTGGGGTAGGGGTGGTGGAGGATGAGGGGTGAGGGCTGGGGTAGGGGTAGGGGGTGGTGGAGGATGAGGGTGAGGGGCTGGTGGGGTGGTGGGGTGAGGGGTGGCAGGAGGATGAGGTGAGGGCTGTGGGGTGGTGTGGGGGTAGTGGGGTGGCGGAGGATGAGGGGTGAGGGCTGGTGGGGTGGTGGGGGTAGGGGGTGGTGGGAGGATGAGGTGAGGGCTGGTGGGGTGGTGGGGTAGGGGGGTGGCGGAGGATGAGGGTGAGGGCTGTGGGTGGTGGGGGTAGTGGGGGTGGTGGAGGATGAGGGGTGGGTGAGGTGCTGGTGGGGTGATGGGTAGGGGGGTGGTGGAGGATGAGGGGTGAGGGGCTGGTGGGTGGTGGGGTAGGGGTGGGCGGGGAGGATGAGGGGTGAGGGCTGGTGGGGTGACGTGGGTAGGGGTGGTGGAGGATGAGGGGGTGAGGGCTGGTGGGGTGGGTGGGGTAGGGGGTGGGTGGAGGATGAGGGGTGAGGGCTGGTGGGTGGGTGGGGTAGGGGGGGTGGTGGAGGATGAGGGGTGAGGGCTGGTGGGTGGTGGGGTAGGGGGGTGGCGGAGGATGAGGGGTGAGGGCTGGGGGTGGGTGTGGGGGTGGCGGGGATGAGGGGTGAGGGGCTGGTGGGTGGTGGGGTAGGGGGTGGAGGATGAGGGGTGAGGGCTGGTGGGGTGGTGGGGTAGGGGCTGGCGGAGATGGGTGAGGGCTGGTGGGTGGTGGGGGGGGTGGCGGAGGATGAGGGGTGAGGGGCTGTGGGGGGTGGTGGGGTAGGGGTGGCGGAGGATGAGGGGTGAGGGTCAGGTGGTGGGTAGGGGGAAGGAGGAGAGGGGTGAGGGCTGGTGGGGTAGGGGGGTGGCGGAGGATGAGGGGTGAGGGGCTGGTGGGGTGGGGTAGGGGGTGGCGGGGGATGAGGGGTGAGGGCTGGTGGGGTGGTGGGGTAGGGGTGGTGGAGGATGAGGGGTGAGGGCTGGTGGGGGTGGGTGGGGTAGGGGGGTGGAGTGGGGATGAGGGGTGAGGGCTGGTGGGGTGTGGTGGGGTAGGGGTGGTAGAGGATGAGGGGTGAGGGCTGGTGGGGTGGTGGGGTAGGGGGTGGTGGAGGATGAGGGGTGAGGCTGGTGGGTGGGGTAGGGGTGGCGGGAGGATGAGGGGTGAGGGCTGGTGGGGTGGTGGGGTAGGGGGGGTGGGTGGAGATGAGGGTGAGGGGCTGGTGGGGTGGTGGGGGTAGGGGGTGGTGGAGGATGAGGGGTGAGGGCTGGTGGGTAGGGGTAGTGGGGCAGGAGGATGAGGCAGGGCTGGTGGGGGTGGTGGGGTAGGGGTGGCGGAGGATGAGGGGAAGAGGGCTGGGTGGGGTGGTGGGGTAGGGGGGGGTGGTGGAGGATGAGGTGAGGGCTGGGTGGGGTGGTGGGTAGGGGGTGGTGGAGGATGAGGTGAGGGCTGGTGGGTGGTGGGGTAGGGGGTGGCGGGAGGATGAGGGGTGAGGGCTGGTGGGTAGGGGTAGGGGTGGGTGGAGGATGAGGGGTGAGGCTGGTGGGTGGTGGGGTAGGGGGGTGGCGGGACATGAGGGGTGAGGGGCTGGTGGGGTAGGGGGTGAGGAGGATGAGGGGTGAGGGCTGGTGGGTGGGTGGGGTAGTGGGGTGGTGGAGGATGAGGGGTGAGGGCTGTGGGGTGGGGGGTAGGGGGTGGTGAGGATGAGGGGTGTGTGGGGTGAGGGCTGTGGGGTGGGGGTAGGGGGTGGCGGGAGGATGAGGGGTGAGGGCTGGTGGGGTGGTGGGGTAGGGGGGTGGCGGAGGCGAGGGTGAGGGCTGGTGGGGGGTGGTGGGGGGGGGGGGTGGCGGAGGATGAGGGTGAGGGGCTGGTGGGGTGGTGGGGTAGGGGGTGGGTGGAGGATGAGGGGTGAGGGCTGGTGGGGGTGGGGGGTAGGGGGTGGGCGGGAGGATGAGGGTGAGGGCTGGTGGGGTGGTGTAGGGGTGGCGGAGGATGAGGGGTGAGGCTGGTGGGGTGGTGGGGTAGGGGTGGTGGAGGATGAGGGGTGAGGGGCTGGTGGGGTGGTGGGGTAGGGGTGAGGGAGGATGAGGGGTGAGGGCTGGTGGGTGGTGGGGGTAGGGGGTGGTGGAGGATGAGGGGTGAGGGCTGGTGGGGTGGTGTGGGGTAGGGGGTGGCGGAGGATGAGGTGAGGGCTGGTGGGGTAGGGGTAGGGGGGTGGTGGAGGATGAGGGGAAGAGGGCTGGTGGGGTGGTGGGTAGGGGGTGGTGGAGGATGAGGGGTGAGGGGCTGGTGGTGTAGGGGGGGGTGGTGGAGATGAGGGGTGAGGGCTGGTGGGGTAGGGGGGTTGGCGGAGGATGAGGGGTGAGGGGTTGGGGTGGTGGGGTAGGGGGTGGTGGAGGATGAGGTGAGGGCTGGTGGGGTGGTGGGGTAGGGGGTGGCGGGAGGATGAGGGGCAGGGAGGGCGGTGGGGTGGATGGTAGGGGGGTGGCGGAGGATGAGGTGAGGGCTGTGGGGTGGTGGGGTAGGGGGTGGCGGAGGATGAGGTGAGGGCTGTGGGTGACGTGGTAGGGGGGTGGCGGAGGATGAGGGGTGAGGGCTGGTGGGGTGGTGGGGTAGGGGGGTGGCGGAGGATGAGGGGTGAGGGCTGGTTAATTGATGGGATAGGGATGCTGTCGAGTGGTCAAAGGCCAAACATCAGCAAAGTCATATCATATAACATGCACCACTGTAAAAACAATGTAAATATTATAAATAAAAATAAATAAATAAAAATAAATAAATAAATAAATAAATAAATAAATAAATAAATATATATATATATATATATATATATATATATATATATATATATATATATATATATATATATATATATATATATATATATATATATATATATATATATATATATATATATATATATA